GAGGGAGGGAGGGAGGGAGGGAGGTGGGCTGGGGGGCGCCTCTCTCCCCTCCATAGGAGCCCAAGTATCCCTCCCTTCTGCCCACTGCCCCCCCACAAGCCATTGCCCTGCCACACCACAGCCCCCAGACCCGCGCTGGGAGCAGCCACTTTGCTTGCCCTCAGGTGTGTTTTTGGGGGCTGGGGGGACAGGGGCCGCCCCAGTCTGGCCCTGGTAAGGGGTTTAACAGTCCTCCCAGGATCTCCTCCTGGTCTCTAAATACGCCCCCAGCCTCCCTTCTGGCTACAGAGAACTGATCCAGAGTTGGGGGCAGGAAGCCCCCAGGACTGGGGGACTTTGTCCAGAGAGGTGGCAGGAATGGCGCTTCTGTTAAAGGTGTGCGATAAATGGTGAAATCCCTCGGGGTCCCACCTTGAGGCTCTGCCCTGGAGCTCTGCCCCCGCTGTGCAGTGGTGTCCAGGGAAGAGGGACCTGCATCCCTCTCAGTCCCCTTTGCTTCAGGAAAGCTGGCCTGGGGAAGCCCCTGTGCCCCAGGGGAGGGGAGAGCCAAGAGCACCCCGTTATGTCCTGCACCGCCTGGGGGAGCTGGGGAAGGAGCCCCCTTGGTTACTGACACCTCTGAGAGCTTCTGCCACTCTGCCTCTGCCTTTCTGTCTCGAGAGGGAAGGCAGTTTGGTTTTCCTGCCGCGGTACGGAGCGGGGCGGCCTGCCTTGGGATCACGGCGTTATCTCCGTGAGTCTCGGAGCAAAGCTGCCCAAGCCTGGCGGGGAGATGAAGGTATTTGATCGGATTAAAGGTTCTGAGAAGTCAGACGAGCTGAAAGGGGCAGGCAGCTGTGGGAGGCAGTAATGGCATCCCGACGCAAAAACTCCTTTCTTAGTGTGTGTGTGGCTTTGGCAGCTTTCTCTGCTGTATCTGAAACTAATGGGCAGCCCTAGCACAGTAACGGCTTTGTACCAGGCCAAGCAGAGGACATCTGCTCTCCCCTCCCTTCTTGCCTAGTCACTCTTTCTTGGTTGATGCCCTGGGGCTTTCCAAGTTGTTATTTTAGTAGTGTGCTTCTGTTGCATGCCTTACGGTTTGCTAGATGTGTAGCAAATACCTTTTGCCTATGTCTACATTTCACTTTTTTTTTTTTTTTTTTTTTTTTTTTTTTTTAAATGCTGTGTCTTTTAGGGAAGAACTTTGTAGAGCCGGGCTGATGGTTGGACTTGATGATCCCGAGGGTCTTTTCCAACCTGAATGATTCTGTGATTCTTGGTGCCTGATGGGGGAAAGAGAGGTGCAGAGTTTCTCCTGGAAAAGGGGTGACAACAAAGCTCACACCTCTCCTTTCAAAGATCTCTCTGTCCCTCTGTCAGGGACGTGACTGAGGGGCTCGGCAGCAGCGAAGGGGATTTGTTCCTTGGTGGCTGCTTTGTTCTGGACAGCTGAGCTTGGGACTTGAAACAAAAGTTACTTAATCCTCTCAATCTGCCTCGCAGCCTTACTGAGACTTAGTGCTGCCCGCAGACATCAGGGCTGGAGCAGCTTGCCTGTCTGCGCTGGGCTCTGGGTGCTTATCAGTGCTTATAATAGCAAATATCTCTGCGGAGCGAGGGGCGGGAGGGGGCTCGCGCGGCGCCCTGCAGAGCTGTGTTCCTCGGCCCTCTTCACCTGTCGTGCTGCGATAACGGAGCTGCCCTGACATGGAGAGCAATCACCCTGGTCCCGTCTGTGGAGGGAGAGCCCCAGGCCGTAGGACAGCAAGCCCAGGAGCAGGGCTGATGCCTGATGGCTTGTCACAGCGGTGTCAGTGCTGGAAGGCATCCTCAAAACATCTGGCACGCCACGAAGGGCACACGAGTCATCCAGAGACAGCAAAGCTGTGTTGAATCGAAGCCAAGTTCCCTCTCGGCTTCACGTGTTGGACCAAACGGGATCGTGTTCACGCTGATTCTGATCCCTGCTTAGCTTGGGGTGTTTCTCCCCGTGTTCTTGACACTGCTGTTGTAGAAGGTGGCTGGGTTTTGGGGCAGCTGGCAGGTTTTTGAAAGGCAGTTCTGGGACTTCAGAAGGACAGAGAGGTTGCTGTCTTTGTGCCAAAGCCCCTGTCTTCCTGGTGCCACTCGGGTGTTTTCTGGGCTGGTGTTTGCTATTCCAGAGGTCTCTGCAAAGCAGCAGCTCTTCAGCCCACTACCCCGTGCTAATTCATAGTGTGTAGTCTCGCAGCTGGTAGCCAGTTGTGTAGCAGTGGTTGGTAACAATGCAATTTTTTTTTTTCTTTTACCAGCTGTCCCTTCCTTGCCAATCACCTGACCCTGGCCATCCCCATCATTGCAGCCGTCCTCTTCTTCTTTGTCATCAGCTGCCTGCTCCAGACAAGCTTCAGAGACCCAGGTATCCTGCCCAGAGCCACCCCAAGCGAGGCCGCAGACCTGGAAAAGCGGATTGGTGAGACTTTTATTCCCTCTCCTGTGTTTGGGCCAGTGCATGGCTTTGTGTGTGTGCGTGCACGTGCATTTCAGGCTCAGCAAGTCTCCTTTCTTGGGTCTCCGTAGCAGTTGTCCCGGGGGGAGAAAAGGCCAGAATATCAGATTGTGAGGCTTGTCAATGCCTTAGAAGTCCTGGTAAGAGCGGTGCGACGCGCTCCTCTAGCACAGCAGGCCGTGCTTTGGAGAGAGGATCCGCAGAGAAGCGGAGGTGGTTTTCCTTTCTGTTGTACCGTGCCTCGGGGCTGTGCCTGTTCCTGCCCTCAGGACCACGCCTGAGCAGACGGCGGCCCCAGGCAGAGCTCAGGGGAGGGAGAGCTTGGGGCATCAGTGTCCTGAACATCACTACCCTTAGGGACTGTGTCCCAGAGGCTGGGGCAGCACAAAGTTCCCCTCCAGAATCACTCTGCAAAGCTCTTGAAGACGGAGCTGCTCTGTAACGGTGTGTTAGTTACTTTGGACAACATTCAAATGTGGAGGAATCTGAGCCTCTACCACCTTCTGCAGAACACGGGCAGTGAGGATGTAGGATAATTAATTTAAGCATGAATGCTTTTTAAGATTATCATTTGCCATTGAGCCTGCTGTGCTGCAAGGTTTTCTTTATTGTAATGGTTTCTAACAGTATGCTAATGTTTGTCCCCGTCTAAAAACTGCTGTGTCACGCTGGTTTGGTGGTGGCCAAGGAGGTTTATGCACCCAGGATCTGTGGACCTTGTTGATGTGACCCCTCATCATAAATGCTTTAGCAAAGCTAACATGAGACAGCTTGAATCTGCCCCACTGGAGACAGTTGCAAGGCAGTAATTCTACATCTGACTAAAAATATCGTTTTAAAATATCCTCAGAGTGGTTATTCATGTCTCTGTTTCTAAGTGCCTAAAGCAGTAATCTGGCTGCAGATGCTGCCTGATGTGCCAGCTGTTACTGTTAATATAATCCACTTATTATCCTTTTAACATTCTCACTGTTACATCTCTATTTTCAAAGACTTCCCCGCTCTTTTAAGAGTGACTAAAAGGAATAACCCCCCAAAATTGCCAACGTCATACTGAGGTTTTGCAGCTCATACTCTTGCTGAGCAGTGGAACAGCCTCCAGCTGCCGGTCCCTGATGACTAATGAAGCACCAGCACACACCGACGTAACTTGCGCTGCCCCTAGAGACCCTCAGTTCTGACCTTGAGGAGGAGGAATCCTCTTGTGCTACTAAGATATAGATGTCAAATTTCACTGAAGTCTGCCTGGAGCGCTTGAGACCTGCTCGCTGTCCTCCCCCGCTGCGGTGGGGATGAGTCTCTTGAGCCCGGGGGTGCCGCTGGCTCTGGCTGCGAGTTGGCAGTTTGTGTGCTGGTGGCGTTGGGGGGGACGTTTCTGCTGAGGTGACCCTGATTTCTGCAACTTGGATGCTTAAAGCAGAGGAGGAGCCACATGTGCGTTGACAGATGATGTTGCCTCCTCGTGTTGTGATCCGTTAGACACGCAGAGATGAGTTGGTGTTACTGGGCACGTTAACACTGCTGCTTTTGTGCTCGCTATTTATAAATTGCTTTATGTTCTCAAAGCACTGGGCAGATATTACTTCCTCTTGGCATCCCAGCAGCATTGCCATTGAACACAGAAGGAAAGGACATAAATAATGCTGCGAGGAGCTGACTGGAGCTCCTGGCTGCCCACCCCGCAACAAATCCTGTAGGCTGAGCTGCCTCTTAGCTTTTGCTTAAAATCAGGAGAGCACGTGCCAATCCTTTACCCTGCCAGGAGGCAGCTCGGGATGGTAACGGGAGTTTGGGTTTCACCTGCACCAGTTTGACTGTCCCTCCTCATCCTCGCAGACAGCATGGGTACCTCTACCTATCGCCCGCCGGCCCGCACGATGGAGGTGGTCATAAACAAGTACGTGGTGAAACTCAAGTACTGCTACACCTGCAAAATGTTCCGCCCTCCACGCACCTCTCACTGCAGTGTCTGCGACAACTGCGTCGGTAAGCCCAGAAGGGGGAAAGGTGCTGAGATTTCAGGGCGGGGGGATGTGTTTTGTGTTCCTGGACAGATTGCTTTGGCTTCTGGTAAAGGACTACAAAGCAAGATACTGAATGGTTCTTTCTTCTTCCCATTTAAAATGAAAGCAACACCAGTGCAGTCACTCAGGGCAAGGGGCAGCATGTCCAAGACTCTGTGTCTCTGCTCTCCCTGGTGCTGGGAGGACGGTGCTGTGAAATGTCTCCACCAAACACGAGGTTTGCTGGGGGCTCCTTGCTGTCTGTGGCCTTGCTGTTGCCAGACACCACCGTAGATGCTGATTGAGCTCTTCTGTGTCCTCTCCCCGTGCCCTCAGAGTGTGGTGGGGCAGGAGGGAATGAGCAAAGACCTGAAGAAAAGCCTCTGATAGCTCTGCGCAGGCATGGGGCAGCTGCAGTGGGGTGGGCAGGGAGGTTCCCAGTGCAGCCTGCCTGCACCGGAGCAACTTGAACCAGCAGCAGCAGGGTGCCATGTGATGTAGGGGCATGCCCGGAGAGTTTAATCCTTGTGCAGCTGCTCCTGGTTGTACATCGTGTGGGTGCGGAGGCTGTGCTTTACGCTGTCTGCTGGGGCAGCCTGAGGAGTGAGTGACTGCTCGCAGGACCCCAGGGCTCTGGCTGAGAGAAACTTGAGAGTTGCCAAGCGTTCTGTGTTTTGGGGATAGCTGTGGGTGGCTGTGGCTCCTCCTTACACTGGAACAGCTCGCTGGAGAGCAGCGTTTGAAGAGGAGCCGTCCGGGGGAGCAGGCGTGCGCCTGCTTTGTGTGCCCTGAGTTTTGTTTGTGCTGGTGTCCCCCGCAGAACAGTTACTGCAGTCCTGTTAGTCTGCAATGCAGCCCTTTCATTAGAAGGCAGTCGGGAGTGTTTCCAGATATATTGCACCTGCCCTGCGTTCCCAGGCAGTTTCTGTGGTTTTAGAGGCGTATCTTTATAACTTTGAAAAATTCTTTTCTGTCCCGGAGAAGGCGGGGGAAGCTGACACACAGAAAGGGAGCAGCGTTGCTGCACGCACACACCCAGTGCTGTTAGATACTGGAAAAACTGCGGCTCTTTCCCTGCTCTCTTTCAGTTTTAGTAATGGTAGGTGTTACCAGTCACAAGGGTTGCACTTATGCAGGGTTTAGTGAGGGGAATGGCTTGGTCTTTGATGATTTAAAAAGGGCATGTGAGCAAGCAGCAGTGCTCTGCTGAAACTTGTTGCTGTTGTGCTGCTGCAGAGGGGTTCTGGTCGCCGGGGTGGGGGCTGGAAGCTCGGTTGGTAGCCCCTGGTTTTTGGAGGTTCAGCAGAAATCTCTCCGTGACGATGCGCGAGGTGGCGGGAGTCCTCACCGTGTCCCTTTGTTTCAGAGAGGTTTGACCACCACTGCCCCTGGGTGGGCAACTGCGTGGGGAAGCGCAACTATCGCTACTTCTATGCCTTCATCCTCTCCCTCTCCTTCCTGACAGCCTTCATCTTCGCCTGCGTCGTCACCCACCTCACTCTGCGTAAGTACCGCGGGCGCTCGCAGCGCCGTGCTCCTGCCCACAGAGGGCTTGGGGCAGCACTGGGCCACTCTTCCTCTTGGGCAGAGCGTGGGAAGGGTCTGGTTGGTTTAACCAGCCTTGAATAAACAGGGTCTCAGACTGCAGGGAAGCACAGATCCACCCTGCACCTCGCTGCAGAGAGACCTTGAGAGCTGGTGACTGGGCTTATCCCCTCCAGAGCAAATACACTGGTGGGTGCGTCTGCTCTTAACCTGGTGGGGAAGGTGATTTGCCCATCAGCCCCAAATCTCCTGGAGCTGTGTCTGTGCACTGACATTCCTGCAGAGTCACAGGCTGCAGATGTTTCTCGGGCAGGCAGGCAGATCCATGTGACCCACAGAGGGGTGGCTGCGTTCTCAGGAGGGAAGCGTTGGCTGGAGATGCGAGGCCGCCTGATGGGATGTTGTTCCTTGTCCCCTTTTGCTTTGCAGGTGCTCAGAGAGATGGATTCCTCGTCACTCTGAAGACCACACCTGCGAGATATCCTTCTGGTGCCATCAGCTGCTCAGATGGTCACACGCTGGCGCAGCAACACTGACCATGTCACCGAGGTGCCATGAGCTCTTCATAGGGCCACCCTGGTGAACCTCCCACAACTTAATTTAGTCCCCTAGCTACCTGGTTTGGGCAGACAGGCATCTGCAGACTGATAACGTCACCAAATCGGGAAGGCCTTTAGTTGACCACCAGGGTCTAAGGGTGGGTCAATAACTTGTTTCCCAGTTTACAAATTCATGTGGGAAGGGAAGCGCCTGGAGCAGGCTGTGCCTCGGTGGATGCCTGCAGAATGGCACAGGGAATGGGAAGCTTGCTGGGGTGTTTTCAAGGCCCAGTGTGTGTGGTCGCAGCACATACATCCCCAAACAGTCCTCTGCTTCTCTTTGAATAATGATTTTGTTCCTTGAGACTTCCTTGACTTCCTTTGTTTCACTGTGCTGGAGCTGGTGATTTGTTTTTTCTCAGTCTGGTCTATTTTGGGCCTCTCAGGTTTTCACACTTATTTAGTCGCCTCCAACCTGACAACGAACGAAGATGTAAGTACCTGAATCTTGTCCTTCTGCAGGGGCATCCCTGGTCCTTCCGAAGCAGAGGGGAGGTTTTCAGGGGATCCTTGGCAGCCTGCTTTGGTGCAGTGTCTTGGCAAGGTGTGATAATTCACTGCAAAGCAAACAGCCTGTGCCCAGGACATTTAGGCTGTAGTTTAAGGCAGCTGGGCCTGCGCCCGGGACATTTAGGCTGTAGTTTCAGGTGGCTGAGCCCACGCCCAGGACATTTAGGCTGTAGTTTCAGGTGGCTGAGGGGGGAAAGCAGCCCGCAGCAGCAGGGGACTGCGTGATGTGTTGCTTGGCAGTGTCAGGCTATGGGCGTCACATGCTGAAATGTTAGACAGGTCATGTGTGTGTTTTTTCCAGTCTGTGTGTGGCCTTGCTTAAAATTAGGAGTTCTGAGACTAAAAAAAGGAAAACTGGCCCCAGAGACTTATTTGGGTGTTTGCCTGGGACATGGGTGATCTTAATTCAGCATCCCGCATAACCACAGGTCTCCTCTGAGACCCTGGGCAAGTCCCTTTGTCTCTATCAGTTCCTCATGTCTAATAGGCAAATAATGTACAGAAATTGATATTTACCTCAAAGTCTGGGGTGTGTGCAGACTCCAAGGGCCAAACGAGTACCCTGAGCCAGTACAGAAAAGCAGGATCTGTCTGATCCTCAGAAGGAATCAAAATTCACCCTTCTGGCCAGAAGTACCTGTTATCCTTGCTGGAACTTCCAGCGCTGCAGAAGGCATGTTTGCATCCCTTTGGTTTAGGTTTTTTTTTTTTTCCCCCCTTTCCTCTCCACCTTCCTGTTACGTTCAGCAGCGTTGGCAGAAGCACACGGGCCCATGTCAGTGAAGCTGCTGGAGGTCTCGAGGTGCTCCCAGTCCGGGGGGGTCCGAAGTGCCTGGCCCGTTGCCTCTCTGGCTGTGTTGCCCACGTTGCCGGTCTTATGCTGCAACTGGGGAGAGGAAGTAAAAATAAAAGGAGGAAATGTAATAGTAAATGGTTCACTGCAGCCGGCGGCCTGAGGCCAGGTATAGCATCTGCCCACTCGTGTGTGCCTGCACTCCATGTGACCAGGGTTTCGAGATCAGAGTCCCCGTGGCAGCTGCTCAGGGTGGGGACAGGTGACATTTTTTCCTCCCGTTGCAGCACGGCCTGGGAATCCCCTTGTTGTTTGTTCAGCCTGAGGAGCCCAGGAGGGTCCGTGAGCTAGAGCCCTGCTCTGATGAGCTTTTAGCTTAGGAGACAACAAGGGGAGGAGGCAGTGGCCGGTGCTGAAGGTGGTGACACTGATGATGGTGACGAGCTGCCACGCAGCTTGGGGAGGGCTCTAGAGCTTCTTAACTGCAAGGCTGAGCCCTGGCAGAGGCCGGAGCAGCTCCTCCTGCCTGTGAAAGCAAAGAGAGGGAGGACATTTGCAGGAAGACAAGCCTTCCACCTCTTGAGCAAGGGGTTTGAATCAAATTCGTTACCGTGTATTTATCTGCTGTCACATCTTTCCTGTCTTAACCTGCGTGTATCCTTTCCCTTTCAGATCAAAGGATCCTGGTCAAACAAGAGGGGCTCAGAGTTTGCCAATCCCTACAGCCATAAAAGTATCCTCACAAACTGCTGTGCAGTGCTGTGTGGACCATTCCACCCCAGGTAAGAGCCTTGGGCCTCCACGGCGTGGGGAGTTGCACCCCGCTCTGTGAGAGGGGCCTCGGAAGGGACCGATTTATCAGGGCTCAGGGGAGACTCAGCACGAACAGTCTGCTTCAGCGCTGAAGAGGGGGCGGTTTTGCAGTCTCTGCAGAGAAAGGCTGCAGATGTGTATAAGTAGGAGATACAATTTGTTGCTTCTCCTGTGGTTTAAGCTTGGCGAGTTTGGGTCAGTTGTAACTGTTCTGTGGAGCTTGCAGATAAGACAAATCCTGCGATTCAGTAAGGGGAGAGTAACGGCACCACAGGGCTGGGAGCAGATGGTGAATGCCAGTAGTGGCAGGACTTCTTCGAGTCACAGAATCATTCAGGTTGGAAAAGCCCCTCAGGATCAGCGAGTCCAACCCTCAGCCCGACTCTACAAAGTTCTCCCCTACCCCACATCCCCCAACATCTCACCCAAACGGTCCTTAAACACCCCCAGGGATGGTGACTCCCCCCCTCCCTGGGCAGCCTGTTCCACTCTGACCACTCTTGCTGGGAAACATTTTTTTCCTCATGTCCAGTCTGACCCTCCCCTGGGGCAGTTTAAAGCCATGGAGTTTAAAGCCATTCTCGGCACAGGATTTTTCCTCCTGTACTCAGAGGATCGATCATCATGGCAAGCAGCTGGCAGAGATCCACACCAGGCAGTGTAGACACCCTGGGTTTTATCAACACTTAAATTACCTGAAATGCTTAGTTGCATCCCACCAAATGCTCGTAGCTGTGAGTTAAGCAGAGCTGATGTTAAAACAAGGGCCAGGGTGGATTGCTGCGGGTGTAGGGAAGCACTGGGCCCAAAGCAAGTACCTGCACCACGGGATTACCACTGCTTTGTCACAAGAGGGTGCAGTTGGGCAGAGTCAGGCCGGTGTCACAGGAGTTGGGGATCCCTGAGACACAGTTTATTCACTGGATCCAGTGTGGATTTATGTGGAGCATCTCAGAGGTGCGTACTCGGTGTAACAGCAGCAGGGGAGGGTGTCTGAGGCTGTGCAGCTGCAGTCAAAGTGTCTTTTTTTTTTTTACACTTCCATCTGGCCCCGCTCTCTGAAGTGTCCCCAAGTTTTTTGTTGGATTCAGATCTGCCAAAATTTTCCATTAGGAGAAAATGTTTCCCAGCAAGAGTGGTCAGAGAGTGGAACGGGCTGCCCAGGGAGGGGGGGGAGTCCCCACCCCTGGGTGTGTTTAAGGGCCGTTTGGATGAGCTGTGGGGGATGTGGGGTAGGGGAGAACTTTGTAGAGTCGGGCTGAGGGTTGGACTCGCTGATCCCGAGGGGCTTTTCCAACCTGAATGATTCTGTGATTCTGTGAAAATGCCGGTGCTGCCATTCAGAGTTGGTAAATCTGCGGATTCAGGGCGCCAAGCTGCTTGCTGGGAGGTTGTGGGGAGAACAGTGTTTTACTCCAGTTCTTCCCTCATTCATGTTGTTTCCCTGTTACGAAAGCGTTTCGCCGGTTCCCATTTGGGTTTGGGGTGACCCAAAGCTTTAACTGCCCGCAGGCTGCCTGCTGCCCGCTGTGATAAGTCTGGGCTTTGTGTAACGGGCAGGAGGCTGCGTTAGCCAGCGCTCCTGCCGCGCCGTGGTTAGCGGCCCCCAGGAGGAGAGCCCTCTCCTCTGCGGCCCGGGAGCTCCTGTCTTCACGCAACCTTCATTCCCATCGCTCCCCTCCCCTCGCACTCTTCCCTTTCTGTTTTCCAGTTTGATAGACAGAAGAGGATTTATCCAGCCAGATTTTGGGACCCCGTCCAGTCCTAAGAGCGAAATCCCTTCTTTTGGAGCCAAAACTGACACCAGCATGGTAGGAGGCATTCCCTAGCAGTGCTGGGATGTAGCCCAGTGCCTACTGCGCCTGCACCTCACTCCAGCCAGTACCTTCCCCACTTACCATCTCCCCGGCCTCAGGTGGGACAGCCCTGTGATGCAGAGCTGCCAAAGACTCAGTTGAGCCATATGTTGCCTTTTTTTTTTTTTTTTTTTAATTAATTTATTATTTTTTGTTTATTTGTTTCACTGTGATGTGGCCTGTCTGGACTTTCAACCGATAGAGCCCAACAGCATGCAGGACCCTCAGACTCGTGCAAGAAGCTGGGGGGGTCCCTGCTGCACCTGGAAACAAATTGTTCTGGGGAGCCACCAGATCTCTGAGCCCAGAGTCTCTGCTCCGGAGGGGTCGTTGTGTTTCCTGCCTGGAGTAAAGGGGTGGGCCAGGGATGGGAGGTGGGCACTGGCAAACAGTTCCCTGGCTGTCACACCTTGTCTTCTGGGCTGTTCCCTGGTATCTCTGTTAATCTCCGTGAACGCATCCTGCTCCCCCGTGCCGATGTGGAAGGACTGTTCTGTCTCTCAATGGCCGGGTTCTCACCTCGGCCACTGCCGGAGCAGCTTTTTTTTTTTTTTCCAGAAGCTGCTCTGCCTTGGTAAGTTGGGGCTGTTCAGCTGGGAGGACTCTGGCTCCCAGCAGACATGGAAGCTGGCTAGCTGTCCCAGCTGCTGCTGATCCTATTTTCTGGCTGTTCACCGCGGGGGTGCTGAAGAACTCTTTGTGTTTTGGCCCTGCCAGTCAGTAAAACAACGTTTTGCAGCAAGGACACGAGTTAGGATGACCCTCCTTTTAATGGGGAAGGAGACACATGCAGCGTTCTGTGGCTCTCGTTGTGAGATGCTAGTTGTGAGATTTGGGAAGCTCAGCTTGCCAGGACAGCCTGGTTGTGTCCTGTCTGTAGGAGACCAAAGGGCAGCACAAAAGGGTGTGAATTCCTGAGGGTCGCACCTTTCCCAGGTGGAGCTTCAGAGGAAGCAGTGACCGGGTGCTGGTCTCCCATCACCTCACGTTGTGCTCTTGCTCTGGGTTTTGGGATGAGAGCAGGGCTGTCCCCCGCGCCCGGGGGACGATCCCCGTGTGCCTGCGCTCACCCCTGAGCATCGCTCTGGGCCTGCGGAGGCACAGGAGAACTGGGCAGGGCAGCCAGCGCTGCGTCACCCACCGGGAGTGTGCTTAGGGGAGCCACAGACCTTGTTAGCAATACTTGAATCATGTTATTAAAAGCTGCTGGATATTTTTGCACAATTTGTAGAAATTTTTTTTTTTTCTACGTAGAACATTTTATATTCGGTTCAGGTAGTGTTGTGCATGTTAGCCAGGACAGAGGCTTGCAGCGTTTTGTGTCAAGCTGCCTGGTTAGGTTTCCGCGGGTCAGACACATGTATTTCAACCTCAGGCAGAGGCAGCACATTTCTGGGGGCAGCACGTCCCCCCCCAATTCACCAGCGTCGTGCTCTTCACCTTGTGAGTGACCGCACGCAGCATCGGGCCACGCTGGGTGATGGCAGAGGCACAGGTTTCCCCTGGCCTTACGTTTCTGACCGGCCACACAGAGATCTCGGGGCTTGTTTGCTGTGGCCACCAGCTCTTCCTTCCCCTCCGCCGAGAGCCGAGGTGAGAGCACGGTGGCGGCTGCTGAATTTCTCCCAGATCCCGGCACGTGGCCCTCACTGCCCGGGGAGGCTCCCGGTGCTGCTCTGCCCGCAGCCCCGGCCCCGCAGCTTCGTGCTGTGCCTGTGTTGCATCCGGAGAGGCCACCGTGCTCTTCTCTCCCCGCTCCTCCCGCAGGGATGTCCCCAGCTGGGCTCATCCCAGCCTTCGAGAAGCCTCGACCTTCCAGGGGCAGGTGTGGGGCCGAGCTGAGGGGCTGGTGCTGGGGAGCAAGGAGCAGCCTGGGGGGTGTTATCAGGGGCCAGACTCCTTCCTGTTTTTATTTAAACCGGTTTCCTTTGTTACTCGACATAATAAAATTATATTTTTAAAGAGTTAATTGCTTTGGATTATTATTTTCTTCCTTTAAGTCAGAGCAGGGCAGGTGTCCAACATCTGCCAGGTGGCAGTTGGACTCTCTGAGGCCCAGGCCTTGCCTGGCAGCTCAGGACCTCCTGCAGGATGGGGCTGTGAGGGATGCCTGGCAGCGTTGGTGCTACCGTGACTCTTGCTGGAGCAAAGGGCTTTTTCTGTCCCACGTCCCCAGGCTGGGCAGGGTCTCATCCCCTTGCCCATCCCCTTCCTGCAGCAACCACCATCACCTCAGCGTCCTTTCCCCACCCACCCTGCTCGGTCCAGGGCTGGGCTGGGATCTGGGGTCTCCCCCTCTAACCCAGCTCCTCGGGCCGTACCAGCAGGTCTGGAGGTGCATAATCTCTGGTGTCTTCCCCAGGAGGATGCCTGCCAGGACTTTGCCATTTCCTGCACAGCCTGACGGGATTTTGTCCCCTCCTTGGACGTTAGCGCTGCTTTCTGAGGGTTAGCTGGTAAGAAAGCGCTTTCTTCTCCCCGTCATCCACGCGACTGACTCATCTCATCTCCACTGCATGACCAGCTCTGTCCATCCACCCATCACTGGTTGCGTTGGCGTCCCGGTGCCCCCTCCAGGATCCCACCCCCGTGTGGGGCAGCGAGCCCTGGGCTGTGCTGCCTCGGCGTGGGGCTGTGTGCCAGAGGGGCTGGTTGCCCGCAGCCTCAGTGAGGACAGAGGGAGGGTTCCCCCCCCCGCCAGGCTTTGTGCTGGGGTTTGGTACGAGATGGAGCTGCCCGCTCTGCCTCGGGGAGGGGCTGGGCTGGGGGCTGGCTCCAGGCAGAGGGTTTGTGGAGCCCGGGGCTCGCTGGGCTGCACGTTGTGGTGGTCCGTGCTCCATGGGGCTGCCACGAGGAGATTGGAGAGAGCCACCAGCTGATGAAGAGATCTGGTGTTTGGAGCGAGCTGTGTCCTGAACAGAGGAGGGGAACCTGGAACAGATTTCTCATCCCAGCTCTGACCTGCTCAGGCGATCCCTTTCCTCCCTTTCCCTCTGCCTATTTTCTTCTCTGTAACACCAGGTTCCTCCTCCGACGTGCCCATGGCCACGGTAAGTTCCTTCCAAAGCACATTGTGACTTTGCCTGGCTTTGCCTGGGGGCTGCAGAGCTGCCCCTCTCCCTCCCTGCACCACCCCACGGGCTCCTGCCGGCTCGAGGCCCAGCGGCAGCGATGGAGGAAGCTGCTCCTCTGTCCTGGCCTGTGGCTGCCAGCACTTCTCCATCCCGGACTCTCCCCTTTCTGTCACCGAGCCTGGCTGCTCCCTGTTGCTCCTCACTCTTGTATTTCTGACACTAACCTTCTCTTTTTCTTCCTCCTCTCCCTCGCATCGGGTTGATCCATATCAGGAGCCGTGGCAGCCCGCAGCCCTCTCTCTGCCTCTCGAGTTGCCCCGTGAGGAGCCGAGACGCCACGGGCAGCACCCGAGACCACAGCCATGACCACCACGAGTGCCTCCGCTCGCCAGGGCTACGCGGCTGCGCCTTCCTCCCTCCCACCCCAAGAGAAGGGGGAAAGCAGCCGTGCACAAGGAAAAGCTTTTCCAACCCCCCCTCCGGGAGCCAGGACGGCCGTCCCGCGGGTTCAGAGCTCGAAGCCATACAGCCGTCCCACCCCAGAGCAATAACCGGAGCTCCTGCTGTCTCCTGCCGCTGGACGGACTCACGCAGCCGAGCCGAGGCCGCCGGTGGCTCCCTGTAACCACCAGCTTTACCCCCAGCGAAGGTGTCTCCCCTCCCGTAGATACTGGGAGATAGTGGTTTGCATTCCAGCGGGTTCTCGACATGAGCAGGATTCACACCAGAGCGTTTACAACTGACCCGGTGGCATTACACACCCAACCCCACCAGCCCCTCTCCATGTGCCGGAGGACTCACCTCTCCAGACCAGAGTTAGTACATGGTCAGAATTTACCCTTGCAGCCCCCCTGGCCATCTCCCCCCTTCCTGTTTTGTCTTAGCACGACTCTAGTTTTAAGGGAAGGATTCAACCCCCCCAGCACCTTCTGCAGCCGGTGTTGCCGGTGGCCGCAGCACAGGCCGGGCTGGGAGCTGCCCTGCGGTGCCGTGCAGGCCTGCCCACCGTAGTGCCCGGTAGGATTCACCATCTATTTATGCCTTTTACTTTTGTAACAAAATAAAAGTTTCTCCTATTTACTGTACGCCAGGGTCTGGCTGCTGCTCTGCCGGCAGAGGGGAGCTGCTCCCTGCTCGTGCCCGGGCACGTCGGGGCTGCGCAGGGTGGGGGAGCCGAGCGGAGCCGCGCAGGGCTGGCACCCCTCTGCCACCGGCTGTGCCGGCCACGGGGCCGGGAGCTCCCTAAACTCAGCTGTGGCACTCGCCATGGGCTAGAGGCGAGTCTCAGCCCCCCCCGTGGCTCTGCGCAGCGGGGACGATAGGAGCCTTGATGCTGGGGATGGGAAGGAGCGATGGGCAGCGCCTGTGGGACCCCAAATCTGTCCCTCACTGAAGTGTCACGAGCCAGCAGTGTCCCCGCAGCCGGGGGGGAGCCGCAGGGTTGGACTGGTGAGGAACGGGGTGGCCGGACGGGCTGTGAGCATCCTTCCAGTGCTGCTGGGAACGGCCACCAGCATCCTCGGCCCCCGGGCTGCCATCGCGGAGCTGCTCGAGCACCCAGCCCGTGCCCGCCTGCAGCGCCGCCGGCTCGGCTCATGGAACAGGGGATGAACGCTGGCCTGGGCTCAGCTGGGCACCCATCCCTCCGTGGGGCGACGCACCTTCTGCTGCTGCTCTTCGGCATTCGGGGAGCCCACGGGTGCTCTGCGGGGTGATGCTGCGGCCGAGCTCACCTGCAGCCTCTGCGCAGCTATCTGGGGCTCTTCCCTTCAGCCACCCGCCCGCTGGTTTTCACGAAACCGGTAGAGCAGAATGTTTTTGCAGCCTTCTCTCAGCTCCTTGCAACCAGAACTTGGCAGCTGCTCAGCCCCTTTGGCAGGAGCTGCCGGCAGACGCCTGAGCCCTCGCACGCCCCATCTGAGCCTCCCGTCCTGCTCGGGGGGGTCCTGCCGGGGGGTCTCCCCACGGGGCCCCCCCAGAGCGGAGCTGACACAGGATTAAACAGCCCAAAGGCAGCCGGGCTGGGGCAGGATCAGCCCGAGGTTTTGAAGCCGGGTCTGGCAGCAAGTGCTTGGGCAGGGCTGGGGGCTGCGGACCCCGACCACGTACAGCTCTGCTGCTCGAGGGGGTGCGAGCTCCGACTAACTCCCACCTGGGAATCGCTGCCTCCTGGTTTTGCAGGGGAAGGAGGTGGTTTTTCAGAGGGCTGGGTACATCAGGCTGCCTGTTTGCTCCTCCCTCACCCCTCTGTGGGGGCTTGGGGGCTTGGTTGAAGCTCTTAGAGGGTCTCTGCAGGTCTGCTTCCACGCCCCCTCCCCAGGCCTCATGCACCGGGCAGAGGCTGGAGGATGGGCAATGGTCTCCCATGTGGCCGTTCCTTCGGAAAATGCCTTTTCCCCACTCAGTGGGGCGTAACCTGCTCCCACGGTGGATCACGCTGCGCTGGGGAAGGAGCTCTAATTGCTGACGAGGCTCCGCACGTGGCATGGCTCCGGGGGGGGCGGGGGACACGGAGGGGCTGTGGGGAGACTGGTGGAGCTGGATGTCCTTGTGCTGTGAGCCCCTCGATGGGCAGGGGTACCCCAGACCCACCATATGCC